GCCCCCAAACTGAGCTGCTCGCTCGGCGAGTCCCCGCGCTCTGTGCTAAACCAGCACAGGGACTCTCTTCCATGGCTCTGGATATTGTTTTTGTGCATGCCCAGACGCTGGAAATTGTGTCTGTGCATGTCCGCAGCACCAGAAATCGCTTCTGTGAGAGCCAGTGTGGTGTAGTGGTTCAGAGCGATAGACTCGTAATTTGGTGAACCAGGTTCGCTTCCCCGCTCCTTCACCTGCAGCTGCTGGGTGACCTTGGGCCAGTCACACTTCTCTGAAGTCTCTCAGCCCCACTCACCTCACAGAGTGTTTGTTGTGGGGGAGGAAGGGAAAGGAGAATGAGAATGTTAGCCACTTTGAGACTCCTTCGGGTACTGATAAAGCGGGATATCAAATCCAAAACTCTTCTTCTTCTTCTGCGCAGGAGCGGTTTTCTGTGTTTGGGCATGCGCAGAAGCAATTTCCAGTGCCGCAGACATTCACAGATGCGATTTCCGGCATCTCACTGTGCTGGTCCAGCCCACAGAGGATCTCTGCAGGAGTGATCCGGCCCATGCCCGGTAAACCTTGCCGACCGATCTAGGAGTCTTGGTTGACCACAAACTTGACATGAGCCAACAGTGTGACGCGGCAGCTAAAAAAGCCAATGCAATTCTGGGCTGCATCAATAGGAGTATAGCATCTAGATCAAGGGAAGTAATAGTGCCACTGTACTCTGCTCTGGTCAGACCTCACCTGGAGTACTGTGTCCAGTTCTGGGCACCACAGTTCAAGAAGGACACTGACAAACTGGAACGTGTCCAGAGGAGGGCAACCAAAATGGTCAAAGGCCTGGAAACGATGCTTATGAGGAACGGCTAAGGGAGCTGGGCATGTTTAGCCTGGAGAAGAGGAGGTTAAGGGGTGATATGATAGCCATGTTCAAATATATAAAAGGATGTCACATAGAGGAGGGAGAAAGGTTGTTTTCTGCTGCTCCAGAGAAGCGGACACGGAGCAATGGATCCAAACTACAAGAAAGAAGATTCCGCCTAAACATTAGGAAGAACTTCCTGACAGTAAGAGCTGTTTGACAGTGGAATTTGCTGCCAAGGAGTGTGGTGGAGTCTCCTTCTTTGGAGGTCTTTAAGCAGAGGCTTGACAACCATATGTCAGGAGTGCTCTGATGGTGTTTCCTGCTTGGCAGGGGGTTGGACTCGATGGCCCTTGTGGTCTCTTCCAACTCTATGATTCTATGATTCTATGACCCCTGCAATAAGCTCTCATCATCTTCTGAGGTCCTTGTGCTGCAACACTTTAAAAGTTTGCCCCTCTCCTCTTCTGCTGACGATGGTGGTGATGGATGAAATCATCACCGGAGAGGCCAGGTTGGAGATGCGTCTCTCGCTGGGCCAGAAATAATCACACTCAGCTCATCCAGCAAATTTAACTTGGGAAGAATGCAATGACGCAAGCTGGACTCCCGCCAAAGCCTTGAGGTTAACTACCTTAGTCTTGGATGGGGGAGAGACAAACAAGACACGTGTCGTATATTTAATGCCTGAAGCAGGTCAGGGTCTTCATTTTATGTCTGTTCTGGAAACGGTATGTCTTGTTCGCGGGGTCACCTCACGCCATCATCCCAGTACCAGCTTGGCACAGCACCCTCTCCTCCTGAGTAGAGAGCCATTAAGGAGGGGAGGACTCAGGAGGGACTGATTCTTGGCACATCCATCAAAGTAGATGGGATGCCACTGTCCTTAAAAGCATCCCTGGGTAGAGATGGGCACATTGAGCACAAAGTCAGACCTGCTTCTCCTGTGGCTTCCTGGCTCTGTCGGCCGTTGTGCAACGAGGCAAATGGGTTGTCAGCGGCATTGCTCCTATGCAACATGGCCTGCAATGCTCTCTGTGTCTACTCTGAAGTTCAAGGGGACTTATCCTCCCGGATATATGAGCACAGGGTGGTTTTTATATTTATTGAAAGGGCACTGAAGGAAGCCACGAATCTAAAACAAACAAAAAACAAACAAACAAAAACAACATGATTAAAAAAACCATAGTTTAGTACAGGGGTCAGCAATCTTTTCAGCCACTGTCCCTCAGACCATGTGGTGGGCTGGACTATATTGGGGGGGCGGGGATGAACGAATTCCTATGCCCACAAATAACACAGAGATGGATTTTAAATAAAAGCACACATTCTACTCATGTAAAAACACCAAGAAGGTCCTACAAACAACCCAGAGATGCATTTTAAATAAAAGGACACATTCTACTCATGTAAAAACATGCTGATTCCCGGACCGTCCGCGGGCTGGATTTAGAAGGGATTGGGCCGGATCCAGCCCCGGGTCTTAGGTTACCTACCCTGTTTTAGTATATGTGTGAACACAGCCAGCACATTTCCTATTGTAAACCACTTTGATTATTATTTTAATAGAAAAGTGAGATAGAAATAAAGTAATTTCAGCAGCTCCTTTTAGCTTTTGAGTGTCTTTGCTACCCCCATTTCTCCGGATTGGTCTTGAAGAGCCGGTTCAATTTCACCTCTGTCACAAACGCTGTCAGCAGCCTTGGCCTAGTCCTTCTCTCTCAGCCTCAGCACCCTGCTCCAGTCTGCTATATGGGGTTAATAATTCTTGATCTGCCATAAATGCTTGTCGTCAGGATTGCAGGATAATGCAGAAGAAGCACTTTCAACACCTTCAAACAACAATGTAAATGTGAAATGTCATTATTATGCCGTGCTTCAATTACTTGGCATTGGGACCTTAAGGGGATGGTGAAAGAGCTACAGTTAAAAAAAATAAGCTGAAGAGCTAAAGATTTAAATCTGAGAAAGATTACTTTAGCAAAAAGGAGGTGGGGGAGATTTGCTTCGAAAAGGGTCCCTCGCTGCCTCTAACATTTCCATAAAATGCCTGTTTACTTTGAACAGAGTAAATCAGCTGAGTGCTCCTAAGAGAGAGATAATCCTCTCTTAAAGCCCTCCAAGCATCACTCCCCAGGCAGGAGGGTAAAAGAAGAGTCTTGTTTGTTATGCACACTTAAAGATGGGGGCTTTGCACAAGAGCGCAGAGAACCTCCTGCGTGAAACTGGGCATCTTCTGCGAGAGAGGATTGCCCCCAGATGCACACAGCAAAACGAAGCCTGGCATTTTTAAAACAAACAGGAAAGGAAGGGCCTTTTCAAACTGGGAAATGAAAAGAGCAGCCTGCAAAAATCACAAGGCGTTGGGTGTTGGAAGCGAAGGTAAGGAGCCTCTTCCAGGACTGGAATGTGTGCTGTGTTCAAACTTGTCCGTGCCATTCACATGCAGCCATTCATAAGAACCTCGGCAATTATTTTCTTAAGGGCCGTGTATTATGATGAAGATTATCTTTTTAATATATATTTTAAAAGCAAACCTCGTGATGCCTGGAACGGCGTATAATTACCGCATCACCCTAAACCCAGAAAACGTTGGGAGTGGAGCCTGGGAGAGTCTGCCCCACCAAAGTCTCCCTCCTCTTTTGCCAGGTCCATCGCTGAGTCTCCTTTGCTGGAACAGGGGGGTTTTGCCAGCTGCGGAGTCTCTCCAGAGGGAGCCTTTAACAAGGAAGCTGGAGGAGGCTCAGGGAAGGGCAGCCAAATGATTGAAGGGATGGAGAAACTCCCCACCAAGAGGAACGGATACAACATCAGGGGCTTTTCTGTTTAGAGAAAAGGCCAGACGGAGAAGACATGCTATGAGCATTCAATGAAGAAGGATGCTGGAAGATTTAGGAAAGATAAAAGGGAGTCCTTCTTCATAGAATTGTAGCGGTTGGAGGGTGGATGGCGGCTAACAGATTGAGGTTGAATCCTGACAAGACTGAAGTACTGTTTTGGGGGGGACAGGAAGTGGGCAGATGTCGGGGACTCCCTGGTCCTGAATGGGGTAACTGTGCCCCTGAAGGACCAGGTGCGCAGCATCACAGCTGTCCATGGAGGCACAGGTCAAATCTGTGTCCAGGACAGCTGCTTATCAGCTCCATCTGGTACACAGGATGAGACCCTCCCTGCCCGCAGACTGTCTCACCAGAGTGGTGCATTCTCTGGTTATCTCCCGCTTGGACTACTGCAATGTGCTCCACGTGGGGCAACCATAGAAGGTGACCCAGAAACTACAACTAATTCAGAATGCAGCAGCTAGACTGGCGAATGAGAGCAGCCGCTGAGACCATATAACACTGGTCCTGAAAGACTTACATTGGCTGCCAGTATGTTTCCAAGCACAATTCAAAGTGTTGGTGCTGACCTTTAGAGCCCTAAATGGCCTCAGCCCAGTAGACCTGAAGGAGCGTCTCCACCCCCATTGTTCAGCCCAGACACTGAGGTCCAGCTCCGAGGGCCTTCTTGCGGTTCCCTCCCTGCGAGAAGCCAAGTTACAGGGAACCAGGCAGAGGGCCTTCTCGGTGGTGGCACCCACCCTGTAGAACACCCTCCCACCAGATGTCAAGGAAAGAAACAACTACCAGACTTTTAGAAGGCAGCCCTGTTTAGGGAAGCTTTTAATGTTTAACAGGTTATTGTATTTTAGTGTTTTGTTGGAAGCCGCCCAGAGTGGCAAGGGAAACCCAGCCAGATGGGCGGGATATAAATAATAAATAATTATTATTATTATTATTATTATTATTATTATTATTATTATTATTATTATTATATTTTAGAATCATAGAATTGGGAGGGACCCCGAGGGTCATCCATTCCAACCCCCTGCAAAGCAGGAATTTCAGCTAAAGCATCCACGGCAGGTGGCCACCCAACCTCTGCTTAAAAGCCTCCAAGGAAGGAGAGTCCACAAAGTGATGCTTTAGTTGAGATCCCTGCGCTGCAGCGGGTTGGACTGGATGACCTCTGGGGTCCCTTCCAACTTTACGATTCTGTGATTCCATGAACATTCAGGCTCCATTTCAGCAGCGCATATAAAAAGCAGATTGGAGCCATCACAACACCCCAACCCCCAAATTATCACACTGACCACCCGCAGGTGTGTGCCTCACCTGTCCAAGGACTTCTCAGGAAAGGTGAAAGGGCCCAGGCAGATGCGGTTGATGTAGCTCAGGGGAACCCTCTGCAGTTCCAAGCACTTGAGCATGATGAAGTCGTATTTGCAGACCAGGAGGGCGGAGTCTGTGATGACCACGACACGCTCCTTCTCGTTGTTCCAGTGGTCTATCCTGGAGCAGGGAAAGGAGAGGAGACCCAGCAGCGTTTATTTATTTAATAAAGCTTATATGTCACTAGAACGGAGGAGAACACCTCAAAGCGGTTTGCAAAACAAGATAATGCAATTTTTTTTTTTAAATGCCACCATGTTTGAAAACGTACAGAAAATTAGAACCACAACAGAGCAGGTGAAAACAAATTAAAACTTCCTCAAACTTTCTCAATCTGGGTCGGCTTGTCCAAATAAGAATGTCTTCAGCGGGTCCAAAAAGCATGCAATGAAAGTGCAATGAAGGTGTCAATAAGCAGGGAGTTCCAAAGTGTTGCAAAAGTGCCAATTCCATCACTCCAGGTGCTCAAGTAGGAGCATATGGGGTAAGGCGATCTCACAGGTAAACTGGGCCCAAGTTGTTAAAGGTTTTCTACACTAATAGTAACACCTTGGTTTTTTGGTTTTTTGTTTTAAAAGCTTTATTGATTTTAAAAAAACAAACAAACAAAAGTTTGTCCAGAGAAATAAAATAGGTAATAAGTGTTACATCCAATCACAATAAATTCTTCTTTCTTCTATAATGACTTCCTGTCACAAGACCATGCATCTACTACTTATCTTGTCCATTTTGTTGTTGTTGTTGTTGTTGTTGTTGTTTAGTGGTGTCCGACTCTTTGTGACCTCCTGGACCAGAGCACGCCAGGCACTCCTGTCTTCCACTGCCTCCCCCAGTTTGGTCAAACTCATGCTGGTAGCTTCGAGAACACTGTCCCACCATCTCGTCCTCTGTTCTCCCCTTCTCCTTGTGCCCTCCATCTTTCCCAACATCAGGGTCTTTTCCAGGGAGTCTTCTCTTCTCATGAGGTGGCCAGAGTCTTGGAGCCTCAGCTTCAGGATCTGTCCTTCCAGTGAGCACTCAGGGCTGATTTCCTTCAGAATGGAGAGGTTGGATCTTCTTGCAGTCCATGGGACTCTCAAGAGTCTCCTCCAGCACCAGAATTCAAAGGCATCCATTCTTCGGCGATCAGCCTTCTTTATGGTCCAGCTCTCACTTCCATACATCACTACTGGGAAAACCAGAGCTTTAACTATACGGACCTTTGTTGGCAAGGTGATGTCTCTGCTTTTTAAGATGCTGTCTAGGTTTGCCATTGCTTTTCTCCTAAGAAGCAGGCATCCTTAATTTCGTGACTGCTGTCACTATCTGCAGTGATCATGGAGCCCAAGAAAGTAAAATCTCTCACTGCCTCCATTTCTTCCCCTTCTATTTGCCAGGAGGTGATGGGACCAGTGGCCATGATCTTCGTTTTTTTGATGTTGAGCTTCAGACCATATTTTGCACTCTCCTCTTTCACCCTCATTAAAAGGTTCTTTAATTCCTCCTCACTTTCTGCCATCAAGGTTGTGTCATCTGCATATCTGAGGTTGTTGATATTTCTTCCCGGCAATCTTAATTCTGGCTAGGGATTCATCCAGCCCAGCTTTTTGCATGATGAATTCTGCATATAAGTTAAATAAGCAGGGAGACAATATACAGCCTTGTCGTACTCCTTTCCCAATTTTGAACCAATCAGTTGTTCCGTATACCTTTGTTAATTTTCGTTACTTATTATTTTATAAATGTCCACAAAATCACAGAAGTCATTCAAGGCCTGCTGTTGACATCATACTACTACAGTATTCCTTAAGGTATTTTTTTTGTACATGTCCTATTTTTTAATAAATGTTTGATCGCTATGACCTCTCAGTTTCCCTGTCACTTTTGCCAATTTGACATACTCTAACAGTTTCTAATCGTAACACCTTGATCTCGGGCCAGTAGCAGATCTCAAGTGTTGCATGCTGGCAAGGCCTCCCGCCTGTCAGCAATTGTGCTGCAGCATTCTGCAATGACTGCAGCTTCTGGATCAATCCCAAGGGAAGCCCCAGATGGAGAGCATTGCGGCAATCCAGTCACCAACACGCAAACTACGGTGGCCGGGCTCTCTCGGTCCATGAATGGCCCTAGCTGTCAACGCAGTCCCAGTTGAACTTTGGCAGACTGAAGGAAGGAATGAGCTATTAACAGAGAATCACTGAATTGTTGAGTGATGAGGGAACCTTCGAGGGTCATCTAGTCTAACCCGCTGCAACACATGGGAAACAGAGATCTCAGAACAGCAGCAGTTAGGTTTATGTGTTGTTTGGGGCAGTCAGAGTTAGGAAAGCTCATGCAAAAAGAGGAGGCAAACTGAATTTCCTTCCCCCTCCTTGGTTGCACCAGGCTGGCAAATGGTGCCTTCCGGGCTCTGCGAAAACCATCTCCTCTTGCAAAATCTTTTTAATTTGATATAGCGGAAGAGATCCTTCATTCTGCATAATTAGCATTATCAGAAACAGATTTGCCAATTTGTGTCGGGAGTTCTGAGTTCCAACGTGATTTGCCACTGGAGATTTCTAAGAAGAGGTTGGGTGATTATTCAGATATTATTCAGCTGTGATTTCTGTGTTTCAGGGGGTTGGACTAGATGAGCCTTAGGGTCCCTTCCAATGCCAAGATTCTGTGATCCTGTGTTCATGATTTCATTCTTTTTTGCACCATCCAGTAAACCTTCACACCCCTGCCTCATTCACAAGGTCTTCATTCCTTCTTCTTTCTTTAAATGCTTTATTGGTTGAAAACTTTATAACAGAAATATGCAATAGATGTTATAGGCAAAATAAGAAATGCAAAATGAACCATTATTCATTCTTTTACTAATACTTGGTTTGCACATCCATTTGTGATTAAATTTGACAAGACCTCCGATCTTCCCCTTGTGTTCCCGAATTTAGTTCCTTAAATACGTGCTTAAACTTTACTTGCTCTATGTTATTTGACTTACTATAAATTTAATTTTATAAAATTATCCTACTTACGCTCAATCAAGACCTGCCAACGGATTGATATTTTGACAGTGTTATTTCACATATACTCTGTATACATCCCACTCTCTGATAAATTTTTCATTCCAAACTGAAACACAATCTCCGTGCTGGATAACCAATTATCCCGAACCCCCTGGATGTTTTTTTAAACCACAACATTCCTGTTTGGACAAACTACAAAGACGCTTAGAAAGTTGGTGTGAATTTTAATCTAGTTTAGCATTTTCCATTTTTTTTGTATATTTTAAAGTATTGTTGCCAATTTTTCTTGATTTCCTTGTTTTATCTTCGAAGTTGGTGTGTTTCCTCTTTACAATCAAGCAGTGTGTCAATTTTGTGAAATAAATAAAATAAACGATATATGCGAGAATTCACGCTTCACCCACCAGGGGGCAGTATTGAAACTGCAAAAAAGCAAATCCTGGTCAAATGATTCACCAGGTATCTATACCATATACAGTTCTTTTTATAGCTCTTTATAGGCAACTGTTTGAGATTTGCATGGCTTATAATTACATGGTCTCCAGAGAAAACAACATCTGCCAAGGTGTTCCTTCCAATCGCCATGCGTTGCCTTGAGGGACGGGTTGCTGTTCAGCGGCAACGGAGAAATTGTAATTAAAGCAACAACTTTGAGGACTTTTGCAGGAAGCGTAAGGAGATTTTTAAAGTCAGGAGGGATTGCTATTATTTATATATACAGCCCTGTCAGTTTGCATAGCTCTCTCCATAGCAACAGAAAAAATATCCACTATAATCTAAAAGAAAAATAAGTAATGGGTGTGTGTGTGTTTGAAATGGTTGCAAAACATGAGGAAATCAATGCAGTGACCCAACAGGTCTTATAACTTACAGACTGGTCTCTGCCCCAACCACCTTACAAACAGTGTTTGTAGATTGGGAAGGCTCAGTGGGAGTGCAATTTGGGGGCGAGTGGAAAGAGGACCCCAAAATTCTCTACCCGCCTGATTTTCAGGAGGCAAAATTGGGGGTGCCATTTTGCGGACTATTTCTGCAGCGGCGGCAGCAGGAAGAGAAGATTCTGGAAGGGTTAGAAAATGGAAGAGGGAAATTCTACACAGAATTCTCTTCTGAAAACCTTTGGCCGAAAGAAATAAGATTGTTAGTTTCCTAGAACCATAAGAAGACACCTAGTTTGGTAGTCCTAGGGGATTTAACCTAGGGGATTTTATGATGATGATGATGATGATGATGATGATGATGACGATGATTGCATCCATGCCAACATGACCTTGCAAGGGGCCGCTCGGGACTTCGTGGAAAACATGGCCTCCATTGGGCTCTCCCTGAATAGGTTTGGTCCAACTCACAGTTGCGGACATGCCTTAGACCTGGTGTTTACCTCTATTGATGTGGGTGATCTGACACTAAGTAAAAGTGAAACAAAAGAAGTGCCATGGTCAGATCACTTCCTGCTGCAACTGGACTTCTCCGTGACCCTTCCCCTCTGCAGGGAGGTGGGACCAATTCGGATGGCCAGCTCCTGCCACTTAATGTATCCAAATGGTTTCCAGAGAGTAGAAGGGTTGCTTTATCCCATGTTGATGGCCTTTCAGCTGGTTCCCTGGTGACCCGCTGGAATGCGGAGTTAACCAGGGCTATTGACTGTCTGGCTCCAAAGCGCCCTCTCCGATTGCATGGAGCCCGGAGAGCCCCGTGGTTTTCCCCGGAGCTGAGGGCGATGAAACAATCACTGAGATGGCTAGAGCACTGGTGGCAGAAAACTCATTTTGAATCGGACCAGATACGGGTTAGAGCTCAATGTCAAGCCTACCAAGTGGCAACAGCAACGGCAAAGAGGACCTTCTTCACTACCTCTTTCGCATCTGCAGAAAATAGCAGCAGGAGCCTCTTTCAGGCGGTTTGCAATTTAACAGAACCATCTTTGCCACTGGGGTCTGATAAAGACCCCAAGATCTCCTGCAACGATTTTGCAAAGTTCTTTGCAGATAAAGTCGCTCAGATTCGGAAAGAGGTAGACTCCACCATGGGAGCAGGGCCGGGGCAGGAGAGTGCTAGAGTCCTGTCTAGTCAAGTTAAAGGTAAAGGTAAAGGTACCCTTGCCCGTACGGGCCAGTCTTGACAGACTCTAGGGTTGTGCGCCCATCTCACTCAAGAGGCCGGGGGCCAGCGCTGTCCGGAGACACTTCCAGGTCATGTGGCCAGCGTGACAAGCTGCATCTGGCGAGCCAGCGCAGCACACAGAACGCCGTTTACCTTCCCTCTAGAAAGCGGTCCCTATTTATCTACTTGCACCCGGCGGTGCTTTCGAACTGCTAGGTTGGCAGGCGCTGGGACCGAATGACGGGAGCGCACCCCGCCGCGGGGATTCGAACCGCCGACCATGCGATCGGCAAGTCCTAGGCACTGAGGTTTTACCCACAGTGCCACCCACGTCCCGTCAAGTTGCATGGAATCAATTTCAACCTGTTACCTTCCTCTTCCCTCCCCATCCCTTTCCCCTTGTGTGTTGTGTCCTTTTAGATTGCGAGCTTGTGGGCAGAGCCTATCATGTTTCGATTGCGCATAAGCCACTCTGGAAGCTTTTTCGACTGAAGAACGGGGCACAAACACTTAAAATAAATAAAAATGAATAAGGAAGAGAGACTTACTCAGCCAGAAGCCAGAAGCTGTGGGCTGTTTCCCCCATGTTCGCTGTCACATGGGCCCTGAGGTCATCCATGGCTTGGTCAAAGGCTCCAGGCTGAAGAACAAAACGAGAGAGGAGATCACAGGAGAGAAGGAACAGAGGGAAATAATGCTCAGGGAAATAGCAGTCATTGCCTGGTCTTTGTGCACCGTGGTAACCATTGCAGAAGAAGCATTGAACATTAACCAGAAACTCCAACTGAGGGCAGGTCCCAGGGTGGGTGACAACCATTGCAAGTTAAAAAACAAAACAGCTAAGTAGACACGCTGACTCACTATAAGGCAGCTTCCAATCTTCCTGGCTGAAAAAATATTCCTCACCCCTGTCTTAAGATAAAGCTAAAGGGACTCCTGACATTAGGTCCAGTCGCGGATGACTTTGGGGTTGCGGCGCTCATCTCGCTTTATTGGCCGAGGGAGCCAGCGTACAGCTTCTGGGTCATGTGGCCAGCATGACTAAGCCGCTTCTGGCACACCAGAGCAGCGCACTGAAACGCCGTTTACCTTCCCGCCAGAGCGGTACCTATTTATCTACTAGCACTTTGAGGTGCTTTCGAACTGCTAGGTTGGCAGGAGCAGGGACCGAGCAACGGGAGCTCACCCCGTTGCGGGGATTCGAACCGCCGACCTTCTGATCGGCAAGTCCTAGGCTCTGTGGTTTAACTCACAGCGCCACCCGCATTCCCTCCACCCCTGTCTTAACTGCATAGCAAAGATCTCAGGCCTGTGCCCTGGCTTCGAAATTCTACACACAGTGGATCACGGGTAGATTGTTAACCCGCCTGCCCCCCCTGCAAAAAAAGGAGACCATGCAAGAAGGAAGGATGCCAACCTCTGAAATGGAGGGCTCTTTCCTGCATCATAGAGGGTTGGAATAGATGACCCTCGTGGTCCCTTCCCACTCGATGATTCCATTCCGTACCTTTTCTTGCAGGACCTGCAAGTGTTGGTGCTGACCTTTAAAGCCCTAAACGGCCTCGGTCCAGTATACCTGAAGGAGCGTCTCTATCCCCAGCGTTCAGCCTGGACACTGAGGTCCAGCTCTGAGGGCCTTCTGGCGGTTCCCTCCCTGCGAGAAGCGAGGTTACAGGGAACCAGGCAGAGGGCCTTCTCGGTGGTGGCGCCCGCCCTGTGGAACACCCTCCCACCAGATGTCAAAGCAGTAAACAACTATTTTACTTTTAAAAGTCATCTGAAGGCAGCCCTCTTTAGGGAAGTTTTTAATGTTTGATGCTGTACTGTTTTTAATATTCAGTTGGAAGCTGCCCAGAGTGGCTGGGGAAACCCAGCCAGATGGGCGGGGTATAAATAAATTATTATTATTATTATTATTATTATTATTATTATTATTATTATTAACCCCTCCCGGAAATGAAAAGGGTCGACTCACCCTTGTGGCAAAGTATTTCCTTGAATCGTAGGGGTCGGCATGAGGGCGTGGGTACAGCATGGTCTTGGGAGCAGACGGAGGGAAGGATCCTGCATCCGGTTCCTGCGTGGTTCCGGCACCAGGATTTCCCTTGCTCTTCCCTTCCAGATCCTGTTGCTGCTGCATCTCCACTGTTTTGAACTCTTGGTAGTTTCCACCGCCTGACATTCCGGCCGCCTTCGAAGCAAACAGAGGCACCCAAAGGGTTAACACAGCGGCTTGCCCTTTGCCCACCTGCGCCTCTGACAGATCCAGCTCAGGTCCAGCAGGAGGACCAGGTTCCCTCATACATACCTGCCCAGGGCTATGAAATCCTTGGGGGACGCCCTTCTCTCAACCCCACCCCCCTCACAGGCATGCTGGGTGGGAACTCCCTTCCTAGAGATATGAGATTGGCTGCCTCCTTCTTGCACTTATGCAAACAGGCTTTGGGAAACTGACCACTTTTATTGAATGGGCTTGTTCTGTACTGAGTTGAATAGCATACAAAATGCAGCAGTCTGATTGGTCCTAGAACAATGGGATCCAGAATGCAGCAGTCTGATTTGTCCTAGAACAATAGGATCCAGAATGCAGCAGTCTGATTGGTCCTAGAACAATAGGGTCCAGAATGCAGCAGTCTGATTGGTCCTAGAACAATAGGATCCAGAATGCAGCAGCTTGATTGGTCCTAGAAAAATAGGATCCAGAATGCAGCAGTCTGATTGGCCCGAGAACAATAGGATTCAGAATGCAGCAGTCTGATTGGTCCTAGAACAATAGGGTCCAGAATGCAGCAGTCTGATTGGTCCTAGAACAATAGGATCCAGAATGCAGCAGTCCGATTAGTCCTAGAACAATAGGATCCAGAATGCAGCAGTCTGATTGTTCCTAGAATAGGGTTCAGAATGCAGCAGTCTGATTGGTCCTAGAACAATAGGGTCCAGAATGCAGCAGTCTGATTGGTCCTAGAACAATAGGATCCAGAATGCAGCAGTCCGATTAGTCCTAGAACAATAGGATCCAGAATGCAGCAGTCTGATTGGTCCTAGAACAATAGGGTTCAGAATGCAGCAGTCTGATTGGTCCTAGAACAATAGGATCCAGAATGCAGCAGTCTGATTGGTCCTAGAACAATAGGATCCAGAATGCAGCAGTCTGATTAGTCCTAGAACAATAGGATCCAGAATGCAGCAGTCTGATTGGTCCTAGAACAATAGGATCCAGAATGCAGCAGTCTGATTGGTCCTAGAACAATAGGACCCAAAATGCAGCAGTCTGATTGGTCCTAGAACAATAGGATTCAGAATGCAGCAGTCTGATTGGTCCTAGAACAATAGGATCCAGAATGCAGCAGTCTGATTAGCCCTAGAACAATAGGATTCAGAATGGAGCAGTCTGATTGGTCCTAGAACAATAGGATCCAGAATGCAGCAGTCTTATTGGTCCTAGAACAATAGGATTCAGAATGCAGCAGTCTGATTGGTCCTAGAACAATAGGATCCAGAATGCAGCAGTCTGATTGGTCCACAGGAGCCACCCAATCCAGCTCCAGGTGAAAGTGAATCCGCAACCTGATTGGCCTACAGGAGAATCCCGGAATTAGCCAATCACGTGGGGCCCATTGTGTAAATAATGTATATAAAGCAGACATTCTGGGAGAACTTCCATTCCTCCTCACCACTATGAGCTGAAGGCATGAAGTCCACTCTCAACTCTGAGTATATTTCAGGGCTGGTGCCCTTTCAATGTTTATTGCGGTTTAAAAAAATGATTTTTAATGTTTTTAGAGGATTGAAGCTCTTGGAAATCTTTACACCATGGGTAGGCAAACTAAGGCCCTGGATCTGAGCCAATCGCCTTCTCAATCCAGCCCGCAGACAGTCCAGGAATCAGTGTGTTTTTACATGAGTAGAATGTGCCCTTTTATTTCAAATGGGCTATTTGTGGGGCCTGCCTGGTGTTTTTACATGAGTAGAAAGTGTGCTTTAATTTAAAATGTGTCTCTGAGTTATTTGTGGGGCATAGGAATTCATTCATTCCCCCCCCTTCAAAATATAGTCCAGCCCCCCACAAGGTCTGAGGGACAGTGAACTGGCCCCCTGCTGACCCTTGTACACTTTACACCTGCCTGTCTCAAGGCAAGATATTTTAAAAAGCGCAGAAAATAACAGCAAATGGATTGAATTTAGCAGACACCCAATGCATAAGCTAAAGTCATTGCTTCCCTCTACCACCAGGTGAGCTGTTTACCTGCTGAGCCTACTGTGCAGGTGCTCACGGCCAAGGCCCCTCCCCTGCTCTGCCTTCCGACAGCTCCTTATCATTAATCTGAATTTGGAAAAGACAAACCTTCTGACAGAGGACTCTTTCAAACAGAGGCGTTGCAGCTGGCAGAAAGCCACAGCTAGGTTATCTCAGCCACTTTCATTATGTGGCCAAGCACTTAATTGTCTACCGTGGCTGTTGGCCTCTGTCTGTCTCAAGAGACAATGGAGTGCACCTCCAAGGGTGAAGTCACACCACTGTTAGCAGCACCCAAGTGACCTCCCCAGGGTGCAATCCTGGGCAGTGTGTGTGGAGGTCCTGGGCTACCCAGATGACAAGACCCCCCTCTCTGCCTGGCTGATGTGATCCAAAGGAAAGCAGAGCAAGGGATTTGTGTAGGATCTACTCCTTCACCCTTTGTTCTCCTGAAGATGTTCCGCAAGGAAGCAGGCATGTGTTATGTGTCCAGTGGTCTGCGTTTGGCTGAGTTTGAGTCTGGACTAAGCAAGCTGAGTTCCTGTGTTCTGATTCGATACATGTTGTCCAATCACAGAACATTTCGGGATTTGGGCCTCTGCCATTGGCCCTTCAACTCTGAGTCGGGATTCACGACTTGGAAGTTTAGACAGCCAATCACGTTGGGAGTGGGAGTGGCCCAGGCTTCCAGGAGTGTAAATAATAATAATAATAATAATAATAATAATAATAATATCCTGCCCTCCCCAGCCGAAGCCGGGCTCAGAGCGGCTAACAACATTAAAATGATACAAAATTCTAAAATCATTTCATTATAAAATCAATTCAAATCAGATTAATGGCAACCATTGGGCTACAGTTCTGTGAGGATCGCCAAAGGAGAGGGTCAGGCTGTGCCTTGGACAAAGGCCTGGTGGAACAGCTCCGTCTTGCAGACTCTACGGAAAGATGTCAAGTCCTGCAGGGCCCTAGTCTCTTGGGACAGAGCGTTCCACCAGATCGGGGCCACAGCCGAAAAGGCCCCAGCTCTGGTTGAGGCCAGCCTAACCTCTCTGTGACCCGGGACCTCCAGGATGTTTTTGTTTGAAGACCGTAAGGTCCTCCGTGGGACATACCAGGAGAGGCGGTCCTATAGGTACGAGTTGCTTTGCCCCATTTCCCAGTTATGCAGTTCAATGAAGGTTCTTGCTGTTATCGCTGCGTCTTGCCTCGTGGGAACCCACCTACACTTCAGCATGGATTGTTCTGTGGGGTTTACTCCTAAATACACTCACTAATGAGTGTAGCCGCAAGGCAGCAGAGGTTTTCTTCTCCTAGACGGGCTCCCTTCCCAGGTGGACGAGCCCCATCTGCCCCTCATTTTCCTCCACAGAACATGCAGAAACCAACTGCTTGACCATTGGACCTGCTCTTGGTCTCCTCTGCTCAATCCTCCACAGTCTGTCTTTGAATGCAGGGGAAGTCCCTAATTCTCTGATGGTTTGAGACCCATCGACTCCCCTCACCTGGTTTAGCCAGTCGGTCCAGGCCGTTTCCCAGAGATCCATCTACTTTTCATCTAGAAAGTTCAAATCCCCAGCATCTCCACTTAAAAGTCTTGCAGGCACCAGATGTTGCAAATGACCTTTCTATGCTGGGGACCCCTGAGCTTCTGCCAGCCAGATCAGGCAGTATTGGACTAGATGGGTCAATGGACTGGCTTAGAGCAAGGTGACTTCATGCAATCACGAGATCGCCCATCCTGCCACTGACCATACCTGAGAACAGAGCTAGGCACCCAGAGATGGGTGGGGTTGGCCATTCTCTGCTAACAAACAGTGACCTGAAATAGCTATCAGGGGTGTGGACCTCAGAATTGACTCAGCGATCGCCTTCCTGGGTAAACAAGGCCTTGCTGTTTGGGGAGAGCCAAGGCAAACTGAGCGTTTCAGGCATCCACGATCATGACAAGCTCTTCGCGGGCGAGTTCGGTTCCAAGGTATTGGTACTAGGATATAAGGCCCTGTATGGCTGAGGACCAGGTAACATGAGAAACCACCTAAATACCCAGTAGGTCATTGCATTCTGCTGGAAAGTTTCCCAAATCAGAAACTTGCTCTACAGGAAGTCAGAGCAAGGCTCTCAGTGTGGAGGAACAGGGTCCATGTTGAGATACGACAGGCACCATAAAGACATAAGGAGAGTTTGCTGGATCCGGCCAGTAGCCCATCTAGTGTAGCATCCTGTTCTCACAGGGGCTGATGCCTCTGTTAGGAAACCCACTAGCAGGATCTGAGCATAAGTACGTTTCCGAGCACAATTCAAAGTGTTGGCGCTGACCTTTAAAGCCCTAAATGGCCTCAGTCCAGTATATCTGAAGAAGTGTCTCCACCCCCATCGTTCTACCCGGACACTGAGGTCCAGCTCTGAGGGCCTTCTGGCGGTTCCTGTGAGAAGTGAGGTTACAGGGAACCAGGCAAAGGGCCTTCTCTGTGGTGGCGCCCACCCTGTGGAACGCCCTCCCACTAGATGTCAAAGAGAAAAATAACTACCAGACTTTTAGAAGACATCTGAAGGCAGCCCTGTTTAGGGAAGCTTTTAATGTTTGATGTATTATAGTATTTTAATATTTTTTTGGAAGCCACCCAGAGTGGCTGGGGAAGCCCAGCCAGATGGGCGGGGTATAAATAATAAATTATTATTATTATTATTATTATTATTATTATTATTATTATTATAGCAACACTCTCCTTTTCTGTGTCTTCCAGCTGCTGGCATTCAGGAGCACTGCCGCCTCCAACCATCCTGGCTAGTAGCCTTCAAAGGTCTCGATACGATACGATAATCTTTATTGTCATTGTCCCATACGGAACAACGAAATTGAAAAAAATCTACACCAGACATTCAAAAACCCACCAGCCTGCTATCCCAGCTATCCCAGCCTGGTTAACCCCCTAAAAACTCTGATACCCCATAATTAAATACAATATACTCCCACAGAGACTACCTTACATTGCGTTTAAAACCAAAATCGCATTTGGGTAGAAACTGTTTCTCAGGCGGCTGGTCCTAGTCTTTATAACCCTGTACCTTCTTCCAGAAGGCAGAAGCTGAAAGAGATCATTTCCGCGGTGCGCACTATCCTGCGCTATCTCTGCAGCTTTCTTATGGCACCTGGAAGCATAGATTTGATCCAAGGTGGGAAGAGTGTACCCAATTATTCTCTCTTCAGTCTTTACAACCCTGGACAGCATTGTTTTTTCCCTGACCGTGCAGCTCCCAAACCACACACACAGACCATAAGTTAATACACTCTCTAAAGTCCTCCTCCTCCTCCATGAATTTGTCTAAGCCTCTTTTAAAATAATCTAGGCCACCCTGCCTCCTGCACTGCATGAAAAAGGACTTTCTTTTCTATCTGTGCTTTCTAGAAAGAATTTGAAGACATTTCCCCACAAAAGCTTTTCCACCTATCTCTAGTGGTTGTCGTTTGTACTGTTTTCAAAACGGTTTTAGCTCTTTTTATGGTATGTTTTCAAATCACTTGGAAAAACATATCCAAGGCAATTCGTGCATCTATTTATTTAACAGCCCCAGCAAATATTTTCCATTGTGTAGATCAGTGTTCCCCAACCCCCGGGCCGCAGACCGGTGCCGGTCCGTGGATCAATCGGCACCGGGCCGCCCGAGGAACTTCAAATCATTTCACTGTGGCGGGCGGCTGAGGCGCAGAGCATTGCGCCCTCCCAAGCCTGCCCATTGTGTGACAATAGCGAATGAAAATCAAAAACCCTGATGCTCCTCCTGGCCAATCAGGGAGCAGGTCCTCCCGTTTCCTGATTGGCCGAAAGGCAAACCTCACGCCATTGGTCGACGAGGAGGCGCCACTTTATATTCATTTTTTGGTGTAGCTGTATTTTATTTTGAAGGCATGTTTAAATACAATTAAATTAAAATTATTAAATCAAAACAAGCGGGCCACGGAAAAATTATCAAACATTTACCGGTCCGCGGCGATAAAAAGGTTGGGGAGCACTGGTGTAGATGACCCACCCCTGAGCAGGATCACAGAATGAGCTTCCATCCTAGGACCTCTTCTGTTCAACTGAGCCCTCTCTGCTCACCTGGCAAGGTACACCACGCATGCTCAGAGGCACTGTCACCTTTCCCATTGTTTTCCTCCCCCTAGCAGAGTCCTGGTATCAAAAGAGTGTTCTGGTGCCCAGCCTCAACTCCGGACCCTTCTGGCTGCATTATACCCATTTCGCAGATTCACATCCTGAGCCTGAGGCCACTCCTTAGAGCAAGCTAAGGCCTTGAGCAAAATCTCTTTGAGGCACATGATGAACCCTGGCTGGCTGCATGCCATTTATTTGGACCCCTCCATAGACGGTGGGACGCGGGTGGCGCTGTGGGTAAAAGCCTCAGCGCCTAGGGCTTGCCGATCGAAAGGTCGGCGGTTCGAATCCCCACGGTGGGGTGCGCTCCCGTTGTTTGGTCCCAGCGCCTGCCAACCTAGCAGTTCGAAAGCACCCCCGGGTGCAAGTAGATAAATAGGGACCGCTTACTAGCGGGAAGGTAAACGGCGTTTCCGTGTGCGGCTCTGGCTACGTGACCCGGAAGTGTCTCCGGACAGTGCTGGCCCCCGGCCTCTTGAGTGAGATGGGCGCACAACCCCAGAGTCTGTCAAGACTGGCCCATACGGGCAGGGGTACCTTTACTTTACTTTATAGATGGTGCCCCTCCATCGCTCCCCATCAGACCCCCAGCCAACCCTGCCTGCCTTTCTCTGTATCCTCATGGAGTTCACCTTCAGCCAACAACCCCCCTTCCCTTGCAAGCATCTCAGCATCTCCCTGGCATCCATTTGTGGGCTCTTGCTGCAAAGTCAGAGCGACCTCTGCCTGCAGGCTCTCCTGGCACCGGCCGGGACCCCGGAGGGGAAACACTTAGCGATATTGCCTTGGGAGGGAGAGTCGCCTCACTGCCATTAGCTAATATTCAATGTCCCAGAGCTTGGCAAGGCTGAGCTCTGCAGGAGGCCAGCGGCCGGCCAGCCGGTGGAAGGGAGCAGAGCTCAAAAGAGAAGAGGAGGCAATTTGGATAGCATGGCTTGCGTCCCCGTCTCACCAGTTCCAGAATTGTAGCTTGGGATATACACTGGGATTTTCCCCTTGCCACCATTTCGCATCCGAAAAATGTAAGGACAGAATGAGAGTTTGCTGGGTCATTGGCCCATCTAGTCCAGCATCCTGTTCTCACAATGGCCAGCTAGATGCCTCAGTGGGAAACCTGCAAGCAGGATTCGAACACAAGAGCAACTCTCCCTTCCCGCAATTTCCGGCAATTATTCAAAAGCATCGCTGCAACCGTGGCCATCGGCAGCCCTCTCCTCCCTGAATTGGTCAAACCCTCCCTTAAAGCTATCCAGGGTGGTGGCCATCGCTGCCTCCTGTGGCAGAGAGTTCCACAGGTTAACTATGCACTTATTCCTGCATTGAAAGGGGGTTGGGCTAGATGACCTTTGGGATCCCTTCCAACTCTACGATTCTACGACTTCATGAAGAAGTATTTCATTCTCAGATATCTTCGAGTTCTTGCCTTGTGCAACAAGTCCCCCACACCCCATATCTGCTTTTTGTCTCCCTCCAAGCCCTCCACACAGCGGCGTAGCGTGGGTTGTCAGCACCCGGGGCAAGGCAAGTAATTTGCGCCCCCTAACCCGTGGATTTGCGCCCCCTAACCTGTGGATTTGCCCTAACCCCAGATGTTGCGCCCGGTGCGGCCGGGCCCCCCCTGCACCCCCCACGCTACGCCACTGCCTCCACATGCAGGAGAAGCAGGAAATTTCCATCGCCCAGGTGGAAATCCTTGTGTTGACAGCACAATTGGTGTTTTCTCCCAACAGCCCTTGGCCCAACCTGGATTTTTTTTTTTTTTTGCACGATCTAAGTCTCTCTGGACTCAGTTTAGGTTGGCTGCAAGCATTGGACCTTTCCACTATCCTCAGGTTTTTCTGCCCTCCCTCCCACATGCCATCCTAAAAAGCCGTATTGTTTCCTTTAATATCCAACCTCAAGGAACTCCAATGTTCGCCTGATACTTTTTGCTGATCCCAAGCAAGCTGTGACTCTGCTGTGACTTTTGAATTCTTCCTAACGGAGCAACACAGCTCACTAGACAAATTTTACATAACTTCCTTGCTTAATCTGCTTCCTCTCAGATTAAACTACCTGACAGTTTGGTTGTGAAGCTCAAATGAGATAATTCAGTTATAAATAATTGGGGAGGGGAGAGAAGGCACTGCACGATATTTGGGTATGGATTCTCCCCCGACCAAAAAAGTATCGCTATTATATTCTCACATCCACCCTGTGAAGCAGGCCAAGCCATGAGTGTCAAGTGTGCTGGCCTGCTCAGCAAGCAGCTGTTTTGGACTCGGAGCAAAATCTGCAGTGCCCTGAAGACACACACACCGTCTCTCAGTGCAGAGACAGTGTGGTGCAATGGTTACACATCACTTGGGAAGACAGGCGGGCGAACTAATGCCAGTGTACTGGAAGAAGCAAAGATTGCCAGTGTTGAAGCAATGATTCTTCAACATCAACTTCATTGGACTGGTCATGTTGTGCGGATGCCTGATGATCGTCTTCCAAAGCAACCACTCTATTCCAAACTTAAAAATGGAAAGCATAATGCTGGTGGTCAACAAAAGGGGTTTAAAGGCTGTCTCAAGGCAAATCTTTAAAAATGTAGTATAAACACCGACAACTGGGAAACACTGGCCTGCGAGCGCTCCAGTTGGAGAACAGCCTTTCCCAAAGTTGTCCTGGGCTTTGAAGACACTCAAACTCAGGACACAAGGGAGAAATGTGCAAAGAGGAAGACACGCTTGGCAAACCCTCACTGTGATCAACTCCCACCCGGAAACCAATGTCCCCACTGTGGAAGGACGTGTGGATCTAGAAGTGGCCTCCACAGTCACTTACGAATTCGTTGTTAAAACCGTGTTTATGGAAGACAATCTTACTCGGCTACGAGGGATCGCCAAAGAAGAAGAAGGAGAGTGTCAGACGAAGATGTGGGAGACCAGGGTCCGAATTCCTGCTCAGCCACGAAGCTCATTGGGTGTAACCTTGGGACAGCTCCTCATTCTCAGCCTAACGTACCTCACAGGGTTGTCGTGGGAGTAAGAGAACAATGCATGCCGACTGCGGCTCCTTGGAGAAAAAATGGTGGGATAGAATTGCAATCTCTCTTTCTCTCTCAATCTCTCCCTCTCTCCCACACACAAATTCACACACCTCTTCTTCTGACAGCACCATGACAGCTTCACCTTTCCAAAGGAGAAACTTTTATACAGTAACTGCAAGGAGAAGAGACCCCCAGCTGCCCTTACCTGCGTCAGGTGTGCAGCAACTTCTCTGCACAGATCTGCAGCGGGACAAAGGCTCAGGTTACCTGCCCAAACTGCCCTGCCGGGTCAGAGAAGCCTGATAAGGAAGTGGAAAGAGTGGCTTGCTGGGAGCCAGGGAGGCTGGCCAAGGTATTCCCACGTAGGCAGGTGTCAGGGGAGGAGGGCTGGATCTGCTCCCTTTGTTATCGAGGCCACACAGGTGCGGAAGAAGCCCTCATTGGCACCTGGGCTGGGAGAGGGTGGAACCCCGGGTCAGTTTGCACCTGTTTGGTTTGCAAGGTGCAGCTCTGGGTGGAAGAAAGGCGACGCCCTGAGCCGAAGAAGTTAAAAACGGGGGTGTTTGCATGGGGTTTCTGCAAGTCTTCCAAGCAAGCATATGCTTTTGCAATTATTAATTAATTACAGTAATGAGATTTGCAGGTGTGGGGCGGAATATAAATTGAATTAATTAATTTCAGGGTGGTTCATGACATACGAAGCAATATAAAAACACAAAATGCACAATGAAAAGAAAAACAGCCCAAATATCCCTCCTGCCTATTTCTCTGGTTGCCAGAAATTCAACTTGGAAAGTGTGAAGTAGCGCCTCTGAGCATGCACAAAGCGCCTTTCTGTTGCCACATCGGCCCATGGCTTGCAAAAAGAGCGTGGCGCTTCCCCCCGTGCGCCCGGCCCACAACTTTGTAAATGTGTGTGAAGGTGTTGTGCCTGGAATAAACTTCTCCCTGCCGCCCGACGGGGAAGCTGGAACGTTTGCTGTTCTTAACCAAGGTTTAAGGGAGAATTGCATGCAAATGATGGGAGTGTTTGCAACAGTCAGTCGTAGCAGAGTTCACAGGCCACAGGCACATACCGAGTGGGAAGGAACAGGATTGCCAACTTTAGTTTTCATGACCAGTAGCTGAGCCCTTTGATGGTATGCCTGTTTGTTTGTTTGTTTGTTTGTTTTTATTACGGCCAGCATGCATCCTTTGAAGGTAAAGGTTGCGGCAAACTTCAGCTGCCCATTCCTGAGCAATAGGCTTCGGTTCAAGGCACAAGAGCACTCCAGGTCTTCCCTGTGGCGAAGTTGGCAACCTGCCCAGGCAAGCAGCAGTAGAATGACAGAGGGTCATTTAGTCCAACATTATGATGGAAGATTGGGAAAAATTACGGAAAACTGACTTAAAAGATTGTTCCCTACTGAAGGAGAATTACATGAAGATGATGTACAGATGGTATATGACACCAGTGCAGTTAGGGAAAATGTACAAAACTAGTTCAAATATACGTTGGAAGTGTAAGGAAAAGGAGGGAACATTTTATCATATGTGGTGGGATTGTAAGGTAATTTTAAAAATTTGGGAAATGATATACAACGAATTGAAGAAAATGTTCCACTTAACATTTGTTAAAAAACCTGAAGCATTTTTGTTAGGGATTGTAGGGAAAGACCTGCCAAAAAAGCTGAAAAACATCTTTATGTATGCGACAACAGCCGCGAGAGTTTTAATAGCACAAGGATGGAAGACTGAAGAAACCCCAACTAAAGAATCATGGCAAGAAAAATTGATGGACTACGCAGAACTGGCAAAACTGACATATAAGCTACGGAACAAGGATAACTGTGACTTTAAAGATGAATGGGAACCCTTTACGAAGTATCTGAAGACGCAACAAAGCGAACTGGACTCCTTGGCAGGTTTTGAATAAACATTCACAAACTTTTTATTGATAACAATCAGCTAAATAGTTTGAGGATCTATACAACTGTGTAACATGCAGAAAACAGCAGTCTCAGAGAAACCAGACTGGAACTGAGGGAAGTCGGGGGGTGGGTTTTGTGTTGGGGGGGAGGGAGGAAAAATGGGGGGGGGCAAGGATGATATGTTTTTGGATAATATGCCTTGTTATAATTTTGAATAAAGAAAAAAAATAATTTAAAAAAAATTAGTCCAACCCCCTGCGATACAGGAATCTTCGGGCCAACGTGGGGCTTGATCCCACGTCCCTGAAATTAAGAGCCTGATGCTCTACTGACAGAGCTATCGCTGTAAACGTGCATTTTACGCCATCGCCATTTTGAACACATCCAAAATCAGTTGGTGGTGGTGGTTGGTGTTTTTTTTAACTTTTCTTATATTTTGTTTATTTCATAAAATTTATATACCACTTGCATTTTTTAAAAAAAAGCTTCAAAGAATAGAGCAATAAAAATGTTAACATTTTAAAAAAATTAACCGGAAAGGAACTAAAAACACATCAGTGTTCCAAGATATCTGGGAATTCTGGTCTAAGCCAAAATGTTTTTAGCAGACAGGGGAAAGAGTGCAATGAAGGCACCTTTTTGATTTCAAGAGGCAGGGAGTTCCACAGTTTAGGTGTCGCCACACTAAATCATAGATGCTACTGTTTAGGTAATGTATTTATTTGTACTTTTTTTTTTTTACACCACTTGAGTATTTTCATGATTAGTGGCCTAAGAGAATTGTGAAATAAACAGATAACTTTGGCCCGTCCCAAACACAGGGCTCAGCTGCCTCTAGGGTGGCCAGGGGCTGATCTGCACAGATTGCCCTCTAGGGAAACCCTCTAAGGGGATGGAGGTGCAGTTGCAGAATTTGGGACTTTTCGGTTTAGAGAAAAGGTTGTAAAAGGGGGAGCAAGATCTGCTGGGGTGTTCGTCCTGTGAGGCTGCTCCCCCCTTAATGCTCAAGTTCTACATATGTGCAAAGAAAACCAGATATCCTAAAGACTCCACAGTTTCCACCAAGGTTCATTCCAAGGAAACTGGAATCTCAGCAATTGCCTGGAGACCCCGGGGTCTCTCACCACTTAGAGACTGGGGGTGGCTTGTAGCAATAGGAAGCATTTGCACGCATTATATGCATTTATAGACACTAATTTTACATGCATCTGCACTCCCAGGTTCCTAAAGCAACCAGCACATAAGCAGATACATACAGCAATATATATATATAAATGTATAAAAATACTTAGCTATTAATAATTATAATTTATGCTGCAGAATTACAGAAGAGAATGTGGCTTGAGTCGTTTATTTGCATTGCATGCATAATTTTGCATATAACTAGCAGGGCTTTTAAAAAAATGTTTTTATTAAGGTTTTCCAACAAAGTTTAACATATTCAATACTAATTTTTTTAAAAAGCCCACAAATTACATTTTATATTTTCTATAAACTTCCCCCATCTTCCCTTTCTGGTTTATCACATATCCATTTCTTCTGCCTATAATTTGATATACCTTATATATTGAAATTAAGATCATACCTTATTAACATTTTATTAACATCCCCCCCCTCATATTTATATTTTCTGTTTATATTAATTGATTGCGTCTTAATCAAATCCTGCAAGGGAGTTCTTTTCAGTCCATTGTTTCTCTATATACATCGTGAAGGGTTCCCAGTGTTTAACTAGCAGGGCTTTTAAGAACAACAGCAGCAGCAACAACCAAGCTCCCTTAGAATCAGAGAGTCCTAGGGTTGCCAAGGGCTCCCGGGGGTCATCTATCCCAACCCGCTGCGAAGCAGGACTCGCACTCAAACTATTCGGCCAGGATTTGCAGAATGCAAGCTCTGTGCTTGCTAGTTGCACGGCTGAAAGCACTGCAGCGCTGGGCAGGTTTGCTGTGAATGAAAAGGACTCATCCGCTCTGAGCTCTCTGGCTTTTTGTGAATTGGCTGAATGTCTTTGTGTTGACCTTTCCTTTAAGTCTCAGTACCTCGATGTGTCCAGAAGATGGCAGCAGACGGCTGCCCACGAGCTGGTGTGGATATGGAGGGGAACCTGGCGATATGTTTCATTCCTTCTCCTCTTATTTCTTTTCTTTGAAATAAAAAATGAATAGGGCTGTTAGAGGCGTTCTGGACCCCTTCCCCATTTAGATCCACTGGGCCTCCAGGCCGACCCCTCCCCAATTCAGCGGTGCTTTCCCTCCTCTCCCTTGCCCGTCCCAAACACTTGTTCCTTCCTAAGCATCTAGATTTTTCCAAACTGAAAACCTGTAGCCAAAGAACAGATGGCACCCGGACAGAAACTTTATGGCTATCGATCGCTGCTGGCAGAAGGGAGAGGTCTGGGACTCTGGCAAGGAGTGTTTGAGAGATGGGCTGACTTATCAATGAAAGGATAAATGATGTGAGTTGCTCAGTTTCAGCTGCTGCTGGGCAACCGGCAGAGAAAGAGGCCAGGTTTTGCACCTTGCGAACAAGCCTGCAGTTCTGTCTGAGTGGAGAAAAACGTGTGTGTGTGTGTGTGTGTGTGTGTGTGTGTGTTGGAAATAAAAGGAACTATTTACCCACCACCCAAGATCAAAGGGAAGGGCCATGGTGCAGTCAATGGTCCCTTTTGTAGAAACATCAAATTGCAGAACAGGAAGGGGTCATCTATTCCAACCCCTTGGCTTCCCTTGATCTGGACACTAGACTTTTGTTGATGCAGCCTAGAATAGCATTAGCTTTTTTTGCTGCTGCATCACACCATTGACTCATGTTCAGCTTGTGGTCCACTAAGACCCCTAGATCCTTTTCACATGTTCTACTAGTTGAGCAAACCTAGACAGCATCCTAAAAAGCAGAGACATCACCTTGCCAACAAAGGTCTGTATAGTTAAAGCGATGGTTTTCCCAGTAGTGATGTATGGAAGTGAGAGCTGGACCATAAAGAAGGCTGATCGCCAAAGAATGGATGCTTTTGAATTCTGGTGCTGGAGGAGACTCTTGAGAGTCCCATGGACTGCAAGAAGACCAAACTTATCCATTCTGAAAGAAATCAGCCCTGAGTGCTCACTGGAAGGACAGATCCTGAAGCTGAGGCTCCAATACTTTGGCCACCTCGTGAGAAGAGAAGACTCCCTGGAAAAGACCCTGATGTTGTGAAAGATGGAGGGCACAAGGAGAAGGGGATGACAGAGGACGAGATGGTGGGACAGTGTTCTCGAAGCGACCAACATGAGTCTGACCAAACTGCGGAGGCAGTGGAAGACAGGAGTGCCTGGCGTGCTCTGGTCCAGGGGGGTCACCAAGAGGCGGACACAACTAAACAACAACTAGTTGATGTAGGAGAGGCTCTGGGGAGACCTCACCAGTTGGAGGT